TTAGTTTCACTAGCAGTAGTGCGATTCCACTAAGTGTAAAGACCATAGCGGGTCGTTACAAAATATCCTTTTATATAAAAATAATTAATATAAACCTTATTTTCCCACCTTGTTATTTTTAAATCCTAAATTTGCACTTCCCAAACATTATTATTTTTAAATAATATTTTTTTCATCTCATTTTTTCTCTCTAAAACTTTATTTTGTCTCTTCACTATGCATTATTAATTTTTCTTTAATTCATTTACTTATATTTTCATATTTTTATCAAGAATAATATTTTTTTAATAATTTCATTGACAACCAACCAAATGAATGATTTGATAGGTGATAACTTGATAATAATATTCTTGTATTTTCTCTCAAATAATAATTGCTGACCTATGATATGTTCACCTCTAAAAAATAATTTCTTTAACATATAATGTTAAAAATAAAATACATTAATTATAAAACAAATTTTTGAAGACTTTTTTTATAATTGAAATTCTTTAGTTAATCATATAATTTAGTGCTTAAAATATTATTAAACAATTTATCTGAGTGATATTAAACTATTTTTTTAAATAAGGTGTTTGAGTCAAGTTTGTAAATAAAAATAATAGTTTTTTGACACCAATAAAAATAACAGCTAAAATTTACTAAAAATGAGTCAGTTAAAACGTTACAAATAATAACATTCAAAAGGTATTACTATAGCTATAATATATGTAGGTATATGTCTATTTGACATATAGTTATACACAATTTTAATATTGATTTTGAATGAGATTTAACAACATATTTTGTGTGTCATTGTAGTCTATACCCACACTTTTTAATAATATACCAACATATATTGTAGTTATTGTGCAAGTAAAAATAATTTTTAGTGACATGTATAGTGTCACTATAGGGTGTGTGTTACTATATGACAATTTTGTTGTAGTGATTTTTTTTTGGTTCATTCCTGGAGTATCCACCGCCGATAGTGACTAATCTCCTCGCTACGTTGGAGGCACCTCAAAAGGTAATTTTTAGTGACATGTATAGTGTCACTATAGGGTGTGTCACTATATGACAATTGGTTCGTTCCTAGAGTATCCACTGCCATAATAGTGACTAATCTCCTCGCTACGTTGGAGGCACCAGGTAAGATTCGAACCCTTGACCTTGCTTAAGCGTAGATCAACCCCTACCGCTGAACCACACGCTTGGGGTTTTGTAGTGGTTGTTTGATAGTACCAATAACATATTTTAAAAAATATTGATGTTTAAAATATAACACATTAATTACCATAATGAATACTTTTAAATGACACATTAAAAAATAACATTTAAATTACAAAAAAAAAATCTACAATATTTATTTTAGAGAATAAATTTTTATTTATTTCTTTTTATAAATGATAATACTATTTAAGAAATTAAACTCATAAATATAATAATCAATGTATATATTCAAACATTTTAAATTATTAAATGTTATTTTATTTTGACTTTAATTATTTTAAAAATTGAAAAATAGTAAAAACAACATATTTATTATAATTTACTTTTTGCATATTCATAAATATAATAAATAAATTCATAAATTCAAATATACAAATATTAAAATCATTAAAATACATTAATTACAACAATGAAGATTTTGATTTTTTTGTGACACATTAAATAGTAGGATTTGACTCCGTTAAAATGATAGAGTGTAATAATGTCTATTGATTAAAAAATTCAATGATAGGTATCTATTGTTGTATATTAAATATGAATTTTTACCTTATATGACAGTATTTTTAGGGACTTTTCTTTAGCGAGAGAGTTTATAGTAATTTAATTTTTTTTTATGTAATTAGGTTTTTATTTATCAAAATTATTTATAAATTAAATATTAATATTTCACAATAAATAATCAATGAATAAAAACATTTTTTTATATTATAATACAAATTATTTATCATAAATATAAAATATAATCTATATGTTTAAAAATATTTATGTATAATAATTTCAAATATAATTTATATATTCAAACATAGTATTTATGTATATATATATATAATTTTTTATTCTAAAATTTTTAATTATATTATATATAATAAACATATATTCAAGATAAAATACTATTTATAATTAATTTTAAATTTTAAAAAAAATTATTATAATGTATTTTATTTTATTATTATTTTTAATTAATGATTATTATTGTACTTTATCTTCTGCACCCTTCACTTTAAAGGAGTCAAATTCTAAAATATAACATTTAGATTACAAAAAATTCTCCAAATAATATTTTATTTAAAATAAAAAAAATATTATTTTTATTTTGATTTTTACATTTTTTTTATTATTTTAAAACTAATATCATTAATATAATAAGTGAATGCACATATTCAAACATTTTTAATTATGATAATATTATTCTATTTTTTCTAATTAATTTCAAAATTAAAAATTAAAGTAGTGAAATTAATAAATGTACAAATTCAAGTACACAAATATTAAAATCTTTAAAATATGTTAATCTTCCCCCAAAACTTAATAATTTAAAGGGAATACATTGTTTTTTAACTGCATTTTGGTTTATGTTTTTATATAGATTTCCCCCCCTTATTTATATATTTTTAATTTAAATATATTTTTAATCATTGTAAAATCAACGAGTTTTGTTTTGGTTTCTATAAATTTTTTTTGTTTGATTTTCATTTTTCCAAAATTTATAAACATTATTTTTGATCCATGTAAAATAATTTATTTTTTGGTTTTGGTCTCTATAGTGTAAATATTTTTCTTTAATTTTTATCTCTCTAAATTTTAAAGTTATTATTTTTGGTCCCCAATTATCATTTTAAAGTATATATTTAAGACTTATTTTAAGGACTTATAAAAAAAATTAGAAGTGTCAACGTGTCACAGGTAAATAAAATATCACATATAGTTATAGGTATTTCTTTGGCTAGTCATATAATCTTTTAATGAGTACATACATAGTTAGAAAGGGCCATATAATATTGACTAACATAATAGTTTTGAATTTTAGAGATAAAAAATAAAAATAATATTTTATAGGGATCAAAATTAAAACATACTCATTTTACAATACTAAAAACATATTTTAGTTTACTCTAAAACTAAATAGTTACTACTCGTTAAATAATTATTTTTTAATACAAGAAAGAAAAATAAATAAAATAATATAATAACTACCTATTTATTTTATTTTTAGTGAAGGTATAGAATGTCTCATTCTCTACTAGTGAACATAAATGGAATATGATAATTAATATAATTTATTAAATAAATTGAATATAATAATTTTAAAAATGTATTTTCACAAATAAAATAAATAAATGAACAAAATTTAAAACTTGTAATTATTAAATTATATTATCAGTGTGGGTTTGCACAAATTGTCTAGGATTTGTTCAGAACTTGCATGTTCAATGATGTGAATTTAATACCTCTAATATCATTAAAATTCTACTTAGTGGAAATATTTACACAAAATTATCTCTTGTTGCGAGTCTCTCCTTTATAGGGATGTTCTACGGATCATTAACTTTGTAATAATCATCGCGCATCATCCTTTTATTTTTTTTTTTTTTTTTTTTTTTTTTTTTTTTTTACCATTTTCATATATCAAAAAATAAAATTATTATTTTATTTTGAATTTAGTTATTTTAAATATTAAAAAATAATTAATACTTTCTTCATTTAATATTTTAAAAAATATTAAAATTCATATATATAAAACTAAATTCACAATAATCAATAAATGAATGCCCAAAGTCAAATAGTCATTTATAAAAAAAACTTAATAATAATAAATTAGTTTCAATTTTGTTTTAATGTTCATCCATTTCAATTGAAAAAAAAACCCTTGATTACTATTCTCAATTCTTAAATACAATGAATGTTAACACTTAAAATAATATCTTAAAATAATAAATTTCTTTGCATATAAATTCTTTTTACTCCATTAAATTTGAACATAAATTTTACATTTACATCCTCTGAATAAAATATTTATTTAAGATTAAAGACATTTATAGCCACAATTAAATTGTGTTTGATTATGAGTTTAAAGTTTTGAATGTTTGTTATCCGTTTAAACATATTTATTGGTTTGAAAGTTTTGAAATACGTGTTATTAATTTAAATATATAAAAAATTCTACACGTTTCGAAATATGTTTCGAAACATATTCCAAAACTTAAAAAAATAATTTAAATTATAAAATATTAAATTAAATAATTATTTTATAATAAATTTATTAAAAAATATAAATATTTTATACATTTGGACGAGGAAACAATTCTCCTAAATATATTTATCGATCTAAAAAGTTTAAACACATTTATCAGTTAAAAAGCTTTGAAATACGAGTTATTAGTCTAAACACATTTATCATATTGAAAGCTTTGAAATGCGTGTTATCAGTATAAGTGTGTATTTGGTTTACCGTTCAAAACTCACAAAATCATGTTCAACGAAAAAGAAAAAATATTACTTCTCAATTTGATGCTTTGAAATGTGTGTTTACTCTGTTTAATGAAATCCAACGATAAACCAAAAATGCTTTAAATACATTTATCAATCTAAAAACTTTGAAATACGTATTATCAGTCTAAACACATTTATTGATCTATAAGCTTTGAAATGCATTTTCTTTTATACTTTTTAATGCATAAAGTGTAAAAGAAATGTGACTATTGCTTTGTTATGTTTAAATACCTGTTTAAAATTATAAACAAAAAAACATAGGTCTAATGTTAAAATAGAAAAAAATTTGTGAGTGTAATATTTTTTTTCAACACTAAATGAGATGAACTCAACTAATTTTAAAACACACCCCTTAAAGTTAAAAGTAGATTGAATTAAAATTCTTTTATCTAAATACACAATTTATCTCTTTATTTTTTCTTATAAAACCCATTTCTATATATTTCCAAAAGATACATCCCCTCATTTTTGTAATCATAAAGTAAGAAAGAGAGAGTGAGTGAACAACCCCTCCCAAAATTACCAAATTCAAATTTGACCAAAAGTTTTTGCAACTCTTCTCTGTTCCCGCCATCTCACCATTCAAGGAGGGAATTTCTTTTTTTCCCAAAACAAGCTTAAAATTTTTCACATTATCACCCTTATTAAACTCGCATTTTTCAGTGTCTTATTATAACTTACAACAACAAAAATTTCAAAGTTAGCTCGTGAGAGTGTTGCTGTGTGTTTGGTGTTTGTTTTCTTAACTCTCTGTTGACTCTTCAATCTCCGACTGCAACATGGAAATTGGGTCGAACCAGGTTGTTGCTGGTGACAAGAAAAGGAGGCGCTCCAATTCTATTGGTATTAGAATAGTGGGAACCAGAGTCTATGATTCTGCAAATGGGAAAACTTGTCACCAGGTACTTGGGAAATGGGTGATTTTTTAGATGCCCATTTTGTTTTTTTACTGCGTTTTATGCGCGATTTGTGTTGTGGTTTGTAGAAATGGCGAAATCCAAATGTGGGTATGTGAGGGAACTTGGGAATTGGGTGGAAAATGGGAGCTTTGGTAGATGGGGTTGTGTAAAGATGATGATATTCAGAGCGTGTGAACCGATTGCTTTAGAGTTTGGGTTCTGAAGATGATGTTGTGTTAACTACTAAGATGTTCGTCGTTGTTGTTTGATGTGGTCTTATCTTGCTTAAGCATGCTTGTCTTTTTCAAGTAGAGGATTTGCAGTTTAGTCTCATAAGAAAAAAAAAGAAAAAGAAAACAATGATTATGATGTTGTGATTTTTCTTTTACTTTGGGTGTTCTATTCCATTTTGTGTCGTTGCATGGGATGGTTTGCAGGGATAGAGAAATCCGGGTGTTGTTAAATGTGGGAGCGTGGGAATGATGTGGTTATACGATAATATGATGTTTGTAGCTTTGCTTTTGGTTTGGGTTTTGTTTAGTTTGTGATTTTGTGTCTGCTTTTGTTTCTAGATTGAGTTATTTTTGGAATTGGATGATAACAATTTTGTTTCTTGATTTTCAACATTGAAGTGTCGGCAAAAAACCATGGATTTTTCTGCTGCATGTAAGAATATAAAGAAGGGGAAGCCATGTCCCATTAGGTTCTGCCACAAGTGCCTCTTAAACAGGTTAGCTTTCAGCAATAAAAGCATTTTTTAATATCTTATTAAATGTTTTTAATTTCTAAATTATTCTATTTTGTTAAAAGCATGTTTTTGGGAATATGTATGGAAAAGACTTTGACACTTTATCATAAATTTTGCTTAAACATAGTTTTTGTGTAAACATTAAGCATGTATGAAGTGTAGGATGTTTTGAAGAAATTAATCTCTAATTGTTGGTTAAGAGATATCCTTGGTACAAAATACAAATTAAAAAGAAAGTATAATGATAGAGTTACTTGTATATTTGCATGTGTTTTCACTTTTGAGAATTTTTCTGTGGTGAATTAGGTATGGGGAAATTGCAGAAGATGTGGAAGACTTGGCTGAATGGACATGTCCAAAGTGTAGAGACATCTGCAACTGTAGTATTTGCGAGTTAGTTTCTTTACCTATTTTGAGTGGTATTGTATATGTGAATTCATTCTGAAAGAAGAGAGTGATTTTTGTAGGAAAAAGCATGGTCGAAAACCTACTGGTCAACTAATTCGTATGGCCAAGGCATATGGTTTCAATTCTGTGTCGGAAATGCTTAGTGCCAGCAGAGCTGCTGATAAGTCTGGGGATATAGAATCAAACAAGGTGAATGACATTGTTTTGCCTTCAAAGGAATCAAATCTGGAAAAGGTGTTATTTTTCTCTCTATCTAATCTCATCTATCATGTGTTTGACATATTAAGTTACTTACATTATTTGCTGGTTAAATGGCTCCTCTTTAACTATGAAAAATCTTGATGATTGACGAGATAATTATGGCAGGAGCAGAAACGTGGTCGTAATTCAAGTTCTGCTAAGGTTGTTAAGAGCAAAGCTGTTTCACCTATGAAGCAAATTGCATCAGATAAGGTACCGTAGTTATTTCATTTTTGTTTTATTTATCTTAGTTGCTGGCAGATAAATTTTACTCATTGGTGTAGCTTGTGAGAGGAGTTAGTTTTTACTATAAAATTGTATGAATAGTTGATATTGGTCCACTTAAACTCTATAGCATTGTGTCTTATGTGCCTTATTGATACTTGTACTTGTATCCCTGCATCATACCGGCTCTTGTGGATTTTGCTTGATGTTCTTGTTTGTTATCTCTTGTAGGAGCTTGTAGTACTTCTCTCTGGTGAACTTGGGAAGGAAAACTCTTCGGATGTGAAAAGTGATTTAAAGCTTGACCCTCTGAACGGTCAGAAGGCATCATTGTGCAAAATGTCCAAGAAAACAAAACGTGAAGAATTAAAGGAAATATCTAATGAAGACAATGTTGATGGTGCTCGCAAAAAGAAGAGCTTGAAAAGGCCTAAAATTTGCAAAGAAGTTCCAAGGAAAGAAACAAAAGGAAATACAAATGATGAAACTAAGGATAATAACAAAGTCTCTAAAAAGGGAACGAAAGTAGATAGCAACCATGATACTGACAGACCTGCCTCTGGGTTGCAAACACAAGCAAACAAAAATAATTGTAATGATTTTGGAGACCATGCAAATGATATTCTTGGTCCTGTGACTTTGGCTCCACAAGATTATCTCTTCAATCCCAAGTACCATGATAATGCTGGTGCCAAGCTCCAAGAAGGAATAGCAAGGTTCCCAAATGATGGTGTCAACAGGGAAATAGAAAAAATTGAAGAGGAAATTCCTTTGCCCCCTGGAACTGAGATAACAGAAATATTGGACAGTGAGTTTCCACCTGAAGAAGTTGGGAATGCATTGCAGCTTTTAGAGTTTTGCAGAGTGTTTGGAAAGGTATTATTCTTTCATGTTTTTGTTTGATTAATTGCAACTCACTGTTGCATGCAGTAGTTGACCAACTGAACTTATATAATTGGATAATTCTTCTAGTGGTACAGAAATATAACAAAATCACAACTACTTACTGTTTTTATTAATATCATGCAACATAAAAAATAAATGTTAGATTATTTTGTAGTTGGTTACTTAATTGAGTTATTACATAATGAAAGAATGATATTTCCTTGTGTTTTATGATATTATGTATTCTAGATATAATGGTGTTATTGTTGCGGATATAATTATTGTTTTAAACTCAATTATGTTGTAGTCATTCATAATTGCTTTATCAAGTTTTCAATTTTATTTCTGTATATAATTTTAATGTGTATAATTTTAATCAGGCTATTGATCTAAAGAAAGGAGAAGCTGAAGCCATTTTACGAGAATTAATACGGAAACGAACTTTGCGTCGAGGACAAAACACTTTAGTGGTTCAGTTTCAAATTAGAGTGTTGACCTTGATACTAATTGATTCAGGAAATGAGTGAGTTATTCTTTGTAACTTTAATTTATTTGTTTAATTATAATATTGGGGTGATAGTTTTTTCTGTAATATTTGTTTGGGTTAAAGTTGTCATACTTTGGTGTAGGTCCCCATCCTTAACTACTAACAATGGAAGTAATTCATGGTTAAAGCCTCTAGAAGATTTAATTACTGAATCTAATGTTGTACTAAAAGATTTCCCTTTGGATTGGCTTCGAGAAGGCATCAACGGATACAACAATTTAGATTTATCCTCAAAACTTTCCCTGCTGAATTTTCTCTGTGATGAAGCATTAGGCACAGAGTAAGTATTTCAAGTCTATTTAGAAAATAATTTTATTGTGTATTTTGCTATTGTTTTTATTATTTTTCATCTCTTCATCCATCTTTTCCTTTTCTGTTGGTCTTCTTAATCTTGTTATAAGTGATTGAAAGCATGTTTAATGTGTCCAGGAAATTGAGAAGTTATATTGAAGATGAAAATTCAAGGCGTGCAGTAGATGTTAAAGAAGCAAAGTCAAAGGTAGCTGCAGCTAAGGAAAAGGTAACGGGAAGCAAGGTGTTATGTTCTTTGTATCTTCATTGTCCTTGCTGTTACATTGTTGTTTATAATTTTGTATGCATGTTATCTACAGGAAAAGGGTCTTAGGGAGAAGTTGCAGAAAGAGATGGCTAAAGCTTTTATGCCAAATGTGTCTCCCTTTCCAACGGAGAAGCACCATGCTCTTCTTACAAAGATTAAGACTGAAATGGCTCAAGCTCATGCTGAGATGCTTGAGTTGAAGGGCACAATTCCAAAAGGTATGCTATGATGTTTATGAATTATGCATCAACTTGGTTTGGTAAATTAATAAGTGGTCTTACTGAGATCAAAATGGAAAACCATGTTTGTTTACTTTCTATCTTGTAAGAATTTAATGTTTCTGATATTGTAATGATTGACATTTGTTGTTCTTATATTATAGAGAATAATAGTTCCGATGCTATGAGAATCAAGCCCGAGTTTGTGGACTTCAATGGTCATGCATTTTGGAAACTTAGAAGTTACAATGGTGATGCTATTCTGTTGCAAGGTAATTCTTAAAATGCATTAGTTTAATTTTTGGGAATGATGATACTGTTGTGATTTTGGATATAGCAAGTTTTCTAAAAGAATGCAACATGCAGATATTAAAATACAAGATGAAACTGCTACAGCATCAGAGGAAAAATGGTTTGTTTATGGTCATGAAAAGAAGGACGAGGTTTATAAGTATATTTCCTCAAGGTGAGTTAATTTATTAAAGTTGAGGTGAATTGTTCTTGTGGTTTTAGATATTGGACCATATGGTACTTAATACTAGAGAATTTGCATTCGTTATACAATAACTTATATATGTAAAGAACGTGATGGTAAATAGTTACCAAAGCTAGTTTTAGTGAAGGTGTTGAATGTATTTGAGTGAATAGTGATCACACATTAATGTCAGAACATGCAAAGATAGATCGGGAAATATGATGAAAAATATAATTTGTGACAATTTTCTTTAGCTATTAATTAGTAAATATAGTGAATTATGAAAATGGATTCTAAGAAATCATCTAAGATACTTTAAGATATAATAATGATAATATGTGAGATTTTCTATTTAAAACCTTAATAATCGCTTTTTAATGTTTGTCAATTTAAACTCAACCATGTGCATGCATGCAGTTATCTATCATTGTGAGCGCAACATTTTGTTTGAGGTGCATGCACAAGGGTATGGACAGGGAACATGTAGCTAAACATCTGGGAATACTGAATATAATAGTTTTATTAGTGGCATTGTAGTTATCTATCCTATAATTGACGATCAAGTTCTTCGTTACCTTGGTTGCAGGGCTAAGAGGCTTAAACGTCACAAGGTTTCAAACATGCTTTACAGTGAAGCTAATCCGTAGGATGTTTCTGGTTAGTGTTGCCATCTATGATTATTATCATTGCTTAAAGCATAATATATAATTTTTAAATGGTCAAAAGTCCTTATAAGTGTTCATAATAACATAACTGTTAGCAAACACATTCGTTGTTTGGTGAATTGCATTGCATATGGGTCTTGTCACCAAGAATGTTGGTGTTATATTTTGTTAGACTTGTGTAAATTTATCTAATTATAGTGTGTTATCATTAGTTAAGTAACATGATATGCACTTTATTTGTTTTGAACTTGGACATGATTATACTAAGGAAAGGTTTTTCTTGTTTTTGCAGGCTGTGGGTGATTTTGGTTGAGGGTTGAGTGGGTTCCCTCAATGTTGATTTCTGTGTACAAAGGGAACTTCATTGTGGTCATCAATCTACTACACATAGGAAGATTTTGAAGTTGCTGATGTTGTTAAAACATAGAATCAAATATGGATTTCTTGCACCTTATTTCATTGGACAGGAAGCTTAGGAGATTTAGGTTTCTAGATTTGTTGTTTAGCTTCCAATTTTTTGATGATAGTTAAAAATGGTCATTAGGTTCCAATGTAATTACTATTCATAGCTGTATTTTTCTTCATTTGAATAGTTAGGATGCGGATTGATACGTCCAATTGGATAGTAATGTCTTCCAAAGTAGTACAATTTAATTCTTGGCATTCTAAGGCTATATCTTTCTCACTTAATGCTTATTGAGTCTCACGATTACACATTACTTATATAGTTTTTTCTTTAATCTCATTAATACATCTTATTTTACTTTTTTAATATAGGTTAAAATAATTTTTTAAGTTTGTATAGTTTTACGTATTTTACTTTTAAGTTTTTATAATTTAAAATATATTTTTTAATTCTTATATTTATTTTTAAAATATTTTTTAGTTTTATAGTTTAAGATAAATCTTTTAGTTTTTACACTTTCATTTTTTTTTAAAAATTTTAAATCTTTGTTAAATTTTTTATAACATTGATGTGACATAAGTATCAAGTTAACTTTGTATATTTTATGTCAAGTTTATTTTTGAGTTATTTTAAATTAATTTTTTTTGGTATTTTGTCTCTTATATTTTTATCTGTGATATTTATTGTTAAAATATTTTTTTTTATCTTTACAAAATTATTTGTCAACACAAAATAAACAACATTAAAAAAATTAATAATAGAGATTTAAGATTAAAAAATTATAAATATAAGAATTAAAAGGATTTATATTAAATTATAGAGATAAAAAATGATGGAAAAGATAAGTGTGAGAACTAAAAATATTTATTTTAAACTATAAGAATTAAAAGGTAAAGTAAATAAAATTATAAGATTAGAAATTTAAAAAGTATTTTAACCTTTGATATATAATCATTACTTATTGAAAGTTATTTGTTGGGTTACACCAGTTAAATACTTATAAATTAAAGGTTTATAGTTTTTAAATTTATATTAATTTTAATTTTTTATTTTGAATAAATTTTATTTGATTTTCATCTTTAAAATTTTCTTTTTTAAATAAAAATCTTGATGTCAAAGACTAAAATGTTAATTAAAGGAAAAATTTTAGGATCAAAAATAAAAATCAGCAAAAATTTCAAGATTAAAACTAGTAACAAAATTGTTGAGAGATTTAAAAATAAAAATTAATAAAAGCTTAAGAACTAAATGCATATTAAATATATGATATTATTTAAGCATATGTGCTAATTAGCAAAGCTTTCAATGATTTAAATAAAAAATAAACACAGGAGGTATCATCTTATTAAGAATTGTGTAAGGAGTGCAGTTGGAAATGGCAAGACAAAATATCTCACATCTTAGCCTGGTGGGTAATTCAAGGGCTTTATCAAACATTTGAGGTACTTATGTTTTCATGCAGCATTTGTTGCTATTAAATATTTTTTTTCCAAATAATTTAGTTTTATTTAAAAGAGAAATGTTAACGACTTTTTTTTTTTTAGTATATTCTAATATATAGTTTTATTTTTAATTGAAATTTGTCAAAAAGAACTGTTGTGGAAGTTTTATTCTTTATTTAATGAATCTTATTTATAATTTTTAATAAAATTTAGGGAATAGAAGGAATGGATTAGAAAGTGTAATTAAGGAAAAATATGTAGGGATGAAAATTAAAATTAAACTTAAATTTAATGGATATTTATATAAAACAGATAAATTATAATGATTTTTTTCCATCAAATGAATGAGGTTATGTACGAGTAATTACTTATTAAAAAAGTAAATCAATCATTGAAGTATCATGCTTTCTTAAATAGACTACTGAAATTATATAAGCAATAGTCCTTAAAATATAAGAAATCAAGTTATATTGAAAAATTCTTCAGATTAGTCTCTCAATTTTAATAATATATTAGCCCTCTCAATGTTAATAATATATTAGCCCAAGGAGAAAATTGATGGATTTACAAAATTTTAGGGACTAATAGGGGTATTTGTGGGGTGGATAGGGATGGATTCACTTTTATCCTTACTCGTCCCAAAATTTAAATTGGATCACCTTTTGTAAAAATTTAAACATGACCTAATAAAACGTTATAATATTTGAGATGAATTGGGTTAATCTGACTTGTTAACACAACTTATTAATTTTAGTATAATATTATCTTTGGTTTTAATTATAAAAAATATAAATAAATTATCAAGATCAAGAAAAATAATTAATATATTATGATTAAATTATATGAGATTCAAATTTTATTTTAAATATATTTTTTAATTTAAGTGATTATTATATTTAATGTTAATTATAAATAAATATATAAAAAATAAAGTTAATAATAAATGAAGGATATAAAAAAAATTTAACTTTGATTGTTACTTATAATTAGGATTAGGTAGTATATGATTAAATTATAAAATTAAAAAAATATACATTTATGGTTAAAGTATATTTTATAATATATTTTAATATAAATGATATTAATAGTCAAAATATTATTTATTAAGTTAAAAAGTTGTATTA